TTTGGTATTGTTAAATTATACATACAAAAGCATTTTCAGTTTTATCCATACCATATATAAATGTTTTTATTTTATCAGCACCACAATGCAAAGGAAATATTTTATATAAAGAAAATTATTTTCAGAAAATAAAGTAACCCTCTTCCTAGGGAAATCTATTAATCCTTAGCCCAGATATAAGTAAAATGTTTCCAGTACTGACTACAACATCCATTTTATAGTAGGTTCAACATACTTCAGTGTGCATTTTATCATGTGCTTACCTCATCCCTTTTATAAAGTAGCTCTTGTCAGCTCAGCCATTTCCAAATGTTATGCACTGATGGTAATAACATTGTAATAGGTCCGAGAATGCTGTGGCCCAAACTACTCTGATTCCATGTGGCACTCATACCTGGCCCTGTGTCTGTTCTGCAGCATTTTAAGACCAGGTTAAAGACTGGATTCCTTCGTTTATGCTCATCCCATGAACAACCTGACCTGGCTAAAGTTTGTTGCATTTCAAGATGTAAAACAACTTCTTTCTATTATATTTTTCTTTTGGTGGTATTTGATTTAACCTAATGGAAAACAACAACCAAAGATTCATTTCTGTCTATATTAACCGGAAAGGTAAGAGTGCCAGAGTAACAAGTAGTTTCCAAATGCACAATGAAACACAGGAGTGCATTGGCCAAAGAGAATGCAAAATATCAGCTCTTGCTATAAAGCTAACAATGTGCTGCTCTTTTCAGAATTAGAAAACTATAGAATATATTTAATAACAACCAGTGGTAGATGTTTTCATGTCAATGAAAAGTGGATAAATTTAGACTGTTGCTGTTTATGTGCATTTGATCAAATCTTTTCTGCATTTGACATGAAAATACACTTGTGCAGCTTTCGTTGGTTGGGTCACAATTTTAGAGTAAAGCAAACTACACCATTTGCAAACTAATCTACAAAAGCAAGATCCCAGACCACCATATAACTCTGGCAGCTTACATAAGCTCTCTGCATGATTTTTATTTCGGAATCTCTCTCTATACAGGAGCTCAGTCGAAAATTAAGTTGTTAGCACCACATTTTTAAAGGAAAAAAATGCTGTGGTACTGTATCTAATCTTGTGACCCCCCACCTCTACTAAAGCGGACTGGCATTATGTTTAAGATATTCTTAAATTACAGATCAAGGAAATGCATACAGAAGACTTAAGGGCACGCCTTTGGAATTTTTATATTATAGATTAAAGAAAATATCTTAAAAGCTTTTCTGTGGAATTGATTTTCAGAAGTTAAATGCAACTAGTTCATCTGAAGGCAGCACAGTTGATATAGGAGCTCCCGCTGAGGGAGAACAACCTGAAGTTGAGCCTGAAGAATCTCTGGAACCTGAAGCCTGTTTTACGGAAGGTGAGGAAACAATGTGTGTGTGCTCATCAGACTGCTCTGTCCTAGCTGTCTGTTCTCTCCCTCCCCAGCTCTAATCGTCTGTATCTGTCCAATGGCTGTTTGTTTACCTGTTTGTTGCTTTTTCTATATCAAAACAAAGATGATTTTTGAAAAGGTAAGGTTTAATTTATGTAATCAGATATTCTTATTTTTGTGGCTCCTGTTCAACTCTAAGAAATGCTGCTAGCTATCTGGGTTTTTTGGTGGCCTTCTAGAGTCTTTGATAAGAGAGAAAGCCAAATCATACATATCTCTCTTTAGCTTTAAAAAATAAAAGAAAAAAAGTTTAAATCAAAGGCATAATTTATTGTTTACTATTTTGTCAGGTCATAATGGGTACGAACTGATTAATGTACATCTAAAACTGTCCAGATACAATTAGCTGTATCTGTCAAGGTCAAATATTTTTTATTAGTTCTGAATGATACTAGATGATAGATAATGGAATACCAAAATATACTGAGTTATATAATACAGGGCACCATGCAATTGGAGTAATATCAAGAGGAGCTTCTGAAGAAAGCTTAAATTATGTTATTTGTGGTATGGATCAGTTATCTCTTGAACAACAATGTTGTATATCAAAACACCCAAAACTTCTTATCATATAACAAAAAACACATATTTTTGCTCACAAGCCCATGGCTGGCTAGACAGTTCTGCTGATCTTGGTTAGGACTTGTCATACGGCTGAGGCCTTAGATGAGACAGTTGCCTGACACAGCTTGAATCATCCTCCACACTCTGGCCTGTGTTTGTCTTGTGGCGAAGGCAAAGGAGCAAGAGAGGAAGCCTAAACGCAAGGACTTGTCAGTCCTCCACTTGTATCGGGCTTGCTCCTGTTTTGTTCACCAGAGCAAAGCCGCCAGTCTAGATGCAGTGTGGGAAGGCACTACATACAAAGAAGCATTAAAAATTAGTGCAATAGCACAGAGTATGAAATTCCTTATATTTCTTAAAGGAAATATTTTTGTAGGTACAGAGGTGTTTCTCTAAAATCATAGGAATCACTTCATTCTTAACTTATTTTTTAGTAAACAGCTATTTAATAATTCATACGATGTCTTAACTCCAAATTCAGCACTGTATAGTAATTGCTTTGAGAAAAGTTTGTTTTAATAATAATGACTGCCTTAAATTGTTCCTAGTGATGCTATTTAATTACAACTAATTCTAAAAGAACTTCATTTAAGAACATTAAAGCTGTTTT